TATTTCACCTAGATTGTTGCAGAGAGCTGTACAAAGAGGGAGGTGTGTGTCAGTAGGATTGCTTCATCCAGTTCAGTTTCAGTTGGGATGGCACCAAGATGGCTGGCTTGTTTAAGCTGCTTAATGATCTTAAGAATTGGAAAGCTTCCTTCCCAGTCACCTGTGGAAAGGAAAGGAGAGGAAGTTTTCCATTTCTTTTCAATTGATGCTAATGCATCAGTGATGCTTTGAAAGGGCTTTTTAGAAAGCCCTTTCAAAACATTTCTGATGCACTGTGTCAGTCAGCAACAATTTAAGAGAAATGGAAAACTTCCTTTCCCTTCCTTTGCCTCTTTCCAGAGGGAATCTTAAGACTGTTTAGTGGCTTAGGAAATAGGCACAATTGCTAAAAATGGATAAGTCCTTAAGGTCAATGCTTTAACACCTTCCTTTCATAACATTTCTTTTTCCCATAGCTTTTTTTCCCTTCCTTATCCCTTTGATCTGTCAGCCTGTGAATGCAGGCAGAGGGAGAGAGGGAGAGAGAGTGCCTCCAGCAGTGCTGTCTTTCTAGTTTGTGAGCTACATTTAGAGAAACCTATCAGCTATTTTCTCTGACAGATATTCGCGATGACAAAGAATAAGATCCTTTGCTCTAGACATTCCCACATTTAATACAAAGTCACTACATGCCAGGTAGGTTCATTGCTTTCAACGTCTATCCAAAGCAGAAGTCATCAACTTTTGGCAATCCCCATGCCACATCAGTGGGCGTCCTTCAATAAAAAGTCTCTCTCACTCCCTGTAGTCTATATTTAGATTCAATATAAATATTCAGAAACAAAGAGCCCTTGAAGATGTGTTCACTCTGCAATGGGAGTTTCAAGTTTTCCATCTCCCAAAGCGAATCTGCTCTGCCTCTGTTGCCCTCTCTCTTTGCTGCCTTTTCAGCATGTTTCCAAATTTGCAGACACCGTCAGAATGTTCTTTCTGTTTGTTTATTTCAGCTTTAAAAAGAAAAGAGGATTAAGCAATCTGCGGGGTTGGAAGGCACAGTTGGAGAATGCCACTTGTCACGTCGCATCTCGTCTTATCTTTGATATCAAACATATGGTTTTCTTCTCCTTTTGTAGGAAAAATTCTAAAGAACTGTGGATTTGACTTCTGAGTAATAGTGTGTATGTGATGGTGTAGATTTACTTCTTTAAAAAAAAAGAAGAGATTAGTTATGTGCCAAAGATTGTCCCATTTGGGGGTTTCAAGCCAAACGTAGCATATTGTTGGCAGTGTGTGCACAAGATATATTTTCTGAAAATGTGGAGATTGTGAGGAATATTTACTATTTCCCACTGCCTGTCAAGCTCATTGTTATTCTTCTGTTTTGCTGTCTTAATACCACATTCCACAGTGCAAGGCTGATGATGTGATCCATTGAGGCAATGGTTTTTTTTAATTAAGTGTTTCCCTCTCATTTTCCAAAGCTCCTATGAGTCCCAAGTAAGGTTGCCTCTAAGCCAGGTGTGCGTGCATACACGCATGACTTTGCATCCCTCTACGCAGCTTCATCTTCTGTGCATCAATCACATTTGGTTCCAGTCATGATGGAACCCTGCATACAAGGGGGTAGAGGTGTGTGCACACACAAGGGTCACGTCATGTGTGAGAGAGACAGAGTGACTTAGAGGGTACGTTGGTCCCAAGTAATCCCTTTCACTGTCAGAAATCCATGGTAGCTGTGGGATAGAAGGAGGAAGTTTTTAATCACTGAAAATCATTGCTGGTGGTAAAGTCATCCCATTGATAGGTTATGTTTCCCCCTTTGTTCCTTGGCCCCCCACAGGTTCCTAAATATGAAAGGGATTATTTGGAATGATAGAGGTTTTGTGATGAGAGGGAAAAATGTTTAATTTTCAAAAAAATTGGTGTGGCTGATGAAATAATCAACCTTAAGCTTCAGTATTTACACAGAGAGGTTTTCAGCCACTGTGTCACATTTTACCAGTTTAGAAGCAGCAATAAAACTTTCTCCAAAATAAGGGGAAATGTAACTCACTGGGTATTTAATCTACCGCAGTGAAGTCCTATTCATCAAATACAAAGATGGCAGAACTAGGGTAAGACGGGGAGTGTTTTGAGATACGGTAAGTACAATTCTGACTGTTTACATCAAATTACAAGGAACCTTCCATGTAGATTGTGAAGCTGGTGGAGCAAAGGACTGAGTCTTTGAATCATGCTAACTACAGGACATATTGGCTGAAATCCAATGATAAGTTGCAACGAGAGTAGGCCCATTGAACCATGGAATTTATGGAGGAGTTGACTCACCAAAACTGCACTGATTTCAGTGGACTTAATCTAGTTGCAATTTATGATGGGATTTTAGCCAAGATATGATCTGACATCATAGCAGATGTGGGAATGTAGATAGCTACCTCATCCCATCAAGGGCAGTCTCATCTAGACTGATAAGTAAGCCGCCCAGAGACCTTTGGGTAGTGTGGGCGGCATACAAGTTAAATAAATAAATAAAATAAGTAGTAGCTATCTAAGTTTTCAGAAAAGTTGTGCCCCAAGTGTTATTGGGCAAGGTTCCAGTTTCACTATCATGGAAAATATGTGCTTTATCCCTGAGCTATGACTCTTAGTCTCATCCAATCGGATCACATCTGGCCTATCTTCATTGAGAATTTTATTCAAAGTTGAGTCTCATTCATTTCATGTACCCTCTGTAGAATATACATGCCTCAGGTTATATGAGAACCAGCTAGTTGTGTTTATATTAGCCAGCCAGCAACCACAGCCCCATTTTTACAATAGATATGGAAGATTCGGTATGAAGATTCCATTTTTACAGATGAAGATTTGATTTTTTCGATTTGAGCTCAACAGTCTTGATGAACATGGCCTAATCTGCAGCTCCTGAAACTCATAATGCAAGAAAATGTACATCTCCTCAAGAATTCACTTTTGTGAGGCTCATAGGCTATTTTGTAGAAATAAACTACACAGAAAGCAACAGGCATAAGTCAAAATATGCATTCAATAAAATGTGTATACTTGACAAAAATATGGAAGAACGGCCGTTTGTCAACTGGGGGAGGGGGAATGCCTATTAGGCAAAATGCATGAATAAAATGTACACCACTGGGGAAAAAAAATACATTTTAGTAAAAACTTTAGTGTGGGGAATAAAAACAGTCTGATCCAAAAGAAGACTCTGAGAAAAATGCAGGTGTGAAAAAGGTTGTGGTTGGAGAGAAATGGGATGTGGAGTTCAGAGAAACACAATGTTATTGTTGTTATAGGCTATCCAGTCACCTCCATGTTATGATGACCCCATGAATGAGCGATCTCCAAAATGTCCTGTCCTCAAGAGCCCTGCTCAGCTCTTGCAAAATCCTATGGCTTCTCTTAGGGAGTCAATCCATCTCATATTTGGTCTTCTTCTTTTCCTGCTGCCTTCTACTTTTACTAGAATTATCTTTCCCAGATATTCCTGTCTTCTCATGATGTGCTCAAAGGTGTAACAGCCTCTGTTTTATCATTTCTGCCTCCAAAGATGGGTCAGGCTTGATTTGCTCTTGGACCCATTTGTTTCTCTGTCTGGCAGTCCAGGGCATCTCCTCCACAAAGCTCTCCTCCACATTTCAAACATTTCACTTTTTTCCCCTATCAGCTTTTTTAACTGTCCAAATTTCATAACCGTACTTAGTAATTGGGAATATAGTAGTGTGGATGATCTTGGTCTTCATCTCCAGTGACACATCCTTCCATTTGACAATCTTTCCTAATGCTGTGCTGCCCGTTCAACTCTCGGCCTTCTTTTGATTTCTTGAGTGCAGTCAGCCAAGGTATACAAAATTATTGATTATTTTCTTTTCTTCATTGTCAAGATTAAAGCTGTGCAATTCTTTCATAGCCATGATTTTTATCTTTTAACGTTCAACTGCAGCCCTGCTTTGGCACTTTTCTTTTTAATTTCACCAAATGTCATTTCAACTCATTTCTGCGGTAAAATGTGATCTGAATATACTAAATTATTGATGTTTCTTCCACCAATTTTCACTCCTCCTTTGTCATAGTTTGGCTTTCTATATATATTTTGTGTACAGATAAAGAGAGGAGGGTATAAAATATAGCCTTTGATACCTTTGCCTATAGGCAAAGAGACAGAGAAACATTCATGCTCAATATTCAGAAACATAACAAGCTAATGTTTGAATAGTTATTGTACCGTTTGGGAGAAAAGCAGGTCTGTGTAGCCTTGGGCAAACTGAACAGTCCCAGGATGCCCCCAGAATGGAGTGGTAAAACACTTCTGAGTATTCTCTACCTGGAAAACCCTGCCTAGGGTCACCATAAGCTGGAACTGCCTTGACAACATATAATTATTAATTTGCTTCAAAATACTGGATATATTTCATGAGCTCCTTGAATAAATTCATAGCATTCTGAGCATCACAGAATCACTAAAGTATCACAATACACTTTTACACTGTTGAAGTCAGAGCTTTGTCATACCATGATCTAACCGCTAACCACCCAGAACTGTAAATTAAAATTAAGGTGCCTTATACACTTGTTTCAGGTAGGTAGATTATTACTAGATAGATAGATAATTACTGTATTATTACCACACTTGGAAAGGACAACAGGTGTATTTGTGAAAACATCCTAAAAACCAATGATTAAATTAACATACATTAGTACAATAGAAAAAATGTTCATAAATCAGAACATATATGAAACACCAGAGAAATGTTTATTTTGATGCTTTATTTCATTTTAGGTAAAGGAATAATTGGGAAGAAGATGCAAGTAAGTGGTTCCAGATATGCTGTTGGGCACTTGAGCTATCAGGCATCTTAACCAAAATAACATTTCAGTGAGACCAATTGTATTGTATGAACGAATTGTATTGTATGAACGAATTGAGCTTCTCGGTAGAATACATTGACATCTTCTGTGCTTTGAATCCCATATCAACAAAAACCAAAAGAGGCTCTTTCTCCATTTTCTCATACTTCAGAATTCATTGAAGGTACTTTTTTTTGCCTGAAAAGAAACAAACATTAAATCAGATGTTTTCTTAAATGCAGTAATATTTTGTGCCATATGCAATGAAGGCAGAAATAGCAAGATTAAGCAATCAGCTAGCTGCTCATTAGTGTACCTCAAGAAGAAATCTTGATTGTGGCAGAGGAAGTGAGATATGCACTTCACGTATTATCCACTCATGATGGAGATCATCTGGCGTTATCTACACTTTTCAAGAAGAAGGAAGGCGCCCCACTCCTGGTCTAAGCAATGATGTTGCACAATGCACATAACACTGGGCCCACTCCTGTTATCTCCCCAAACGCCTGCAAACAGGGGCTTACATGCAAACTCCGAGGATACTTAAGCAACCCATAAGATTGAAGGCCCCTGATATGTGGAGAACCTACTTGCCTATTGCAAGGAGGTGCCTCTTGGTAGATGTTCAAGATAAGCATGTAGACTTCAAGGGTTGGCCCAGCAGCATATACGAGTGTTGGAGCTTTGGGTGAGCAGCATGGTTCCTCATGGTTTATCTCTAACGGATTCCTCACATGTCAATTACATTTGAACAGGGCTTACTTACTTGGTGTTATTGCATTCATAACGCCGAGGCAGTCTTTAGAATATGAAAGAGGAAAGCTAGGGGAAATCACCCCTGGGGACGACACCTCTCAGAACCCTACAGCCAATGTGGGCAAAAGCTGGGGGATTCTGAGAGTTTTCGTAGTCTTTTAAAAAAAGCTTTTATTCAAGTTCTATGAAACAGCAGCCATGGAGCAATGTAGTCCCCTAGACATGGCTTTCATAGCATTTCGATGAAGAAATGGCCTATTTTATTTTGGAAGCTTTTCAAAAATTGACTCCCCATGCTCTTTGTTTCATTTCATTATTTAACCCATCTGTCACCCCAGGAAACTTACCTCTAGTGCCTTCAAATAGTCCTTTCCCTTTTGGCTCTTTCAAAACTTACCAGGTTCTTTTCTCCCGTTGGCCAGTCAAATCTCATCAGTCACTCTACCCACAATCTTTACACTCGGGCACACAATATTTACACTGGGCCAAGTCCTACTGTTATTTTACACTGGTGTGCCACAAATGGCATAACCTGGGGTGGGGGGAATTGTTGAGGCAAAGCATGAGGTCAGCATAGACCGGATCAGTTCTAAGATGAGTCTCTGCTGGTTTTGTAACTTGCAGCAACTTGCCTCCAACAGCTACAGAATGGCTGGAATCCTGTTGCTTAGCCTAGTCATTCCCATTAGAGTAGGCCAATCCTCTGCAAATTGCATTGATTCAAATAGGCATGTTCTATTTCCAGCTGACTACGCTAAGCAACAGGATTTCAGCCTATTTGTGCTATGCTTATAGGCATAACTAAAAATGTTGGCCCCTGTTTGCTGTAACACATGCTAATTACAGAAATTGAGAAATATAGCAGACATATTATATTACACATTTTATGCTACATAATGCCAAGTGACCATTATCACCTTTATTCTGCTTCTTTGCTAATAGTCCGTGGTGACTGATGCTTCTTCAGTCAGAACGAATAATTTTCCCAGAACAAGCAGCTTCAGGGTGATTGAGATTAGTATTCTGCTGGATGTTAGAGTGTTAGGGATGCTCACTGATTACATTTGAAATTGGACTGACCTGTTGTGCTCCCTCCCGGCTAATATACAGGTTGGAACACAGTTATCTGTCAGATTTCATGTGCCTCGGAATTTTACAAAGTGACTCTTGCCTGCAAAGCATACAAAATGTGCACCAAATGCCCAAATATTTTAGGCTACAATATATTTAGAAATGCACGTTTTAGTAAGTACATGTGTTCAAAATATGAATACTTCTGAATACTCCTTTGTAATTTTTTCCCAACAGAAAAGTTTAAAAGATTGATTTGGAGAGATATATATGAATGAAAACATAGGAAACTGGCACAGACTGCAAATAATCTTAGAACTTCAGAGCTGGAAGCCCTACAGATGGATCATTGAGTCCAGCTCTTGTCAAAGCAGATGGATCATTGAATCCAGCTCTTGTCAAGGAGGCCCAGTGGGGAATCAAACTCTCAACCTCTGGCTCCACAGACTGACACCTATACCACCGAGCTATCCAGCAGACTGAAGCAGGCTGGCTCAACCATCCCTATTGTAACTTTATATGTGGAAGCTGGCTGGTTCAACCATCCCTATTGTAACTTTATATGTGTGTTTTTGTAATGGAGGAAAGGGAGTAAGAGAAGAAATGATAGACAATCATTTTGAATTTGGAGATAAGGGAAGTAAAAAACTTCTCCAATTTATTTTCTTTACTCTCCCCCACAGTCGCATTTGCTTTACCATCCAAACATTTGGTTGTGGTTTCAGACTTAAAACGTGGAGTTTTAACTCCTCCAAAGATGTTTCTATGTATATTCTGTACTCATTTTCATTATTATATGCATTTATTTATACATTTGTCCCAACATATATATATATATGTTGGGACAAATGTATAAATAAATGCATATAATAATGAAAATGAGTACAGAATATATATTGTGCCTATTTCCCCACTGATTAAACCAGGTATGTACTGGGCAGAGTATGTGGTAAAATGCTGTTTAAAATAATAATAATAATAAAAGACCTTCCAGCTACGCAGCAGAAAGAAGTCCAGACAGAGACCTACAGAGCAGATAAGTATATTACAAGTCTCCTCAAGCACAACACCCCTTATTGTAAATCTAACTTTAGTAAATTGAAGTAAATCTAACTTTAGTTACATTTACTTCAATTTACTTCAACTGGAATAACATTATTTCAATATATTCAATCAGAGTCTGGTGTTGAGAAAGAATAAAAATGTATCTTTTTAACTTACAAAATCGTCATATCAGAATAAAAAACAAAGACATATTCACTGATTAACTTGCTGGCTTCATTATTTTCTTCATTAACTAACCGGTTACATAAACACTTAGAGCACTGACATGGCTAACCTGTGTCAAAGATTGCTAAATTGACACTGAATGTGACAAGAGTTTTTGTTTTTTTAAAAAAGGTTGGAAATAGAATCTGAGTTGCAGAGAGGAACAATTGGCTACTCTAAGCAATTGACGTTCATCCAAAGCACCTCCCACCAAAAGCTCTTAAAAGCATAATATGCAGGTTGCTATCCCAGCAGTGTGTGCATATTTTTCAATTGCACCTTTTTTAAAAAAAATGATTTGCATTGTTTTCTGCCCACCAAATGTACAGACCTCACAAATGTGGAACTTTCTAAGGCAAGAATGCACTTTGTCACACAGAAGTGCAGAGTAGGCCATTTTGGAAAGAACGTCAAAACCACAGAAATAAGTTTCCATCCCCGGGGGCAGAGTGTTGTCAGTTTACTGGGCATAGAACCAGCTGAGAGAAGCTTGCCAGGAATGATCCACACTGTTGTCCAGGTGGAGTCAAAGCAGGATTTGAACTCACTCACACTGAAACATGAACCCGTTTGCTCCCTGTCTGATTTGCTTGTATGTCTCTCTAACCAAGAAAAACAGTCGCAAAACTTGTAGTTTCCCAGCACTTGAACTTCTCAGCGCTTGAGGAAGTAGACAGAGGTGTAACTATAGATCTAGTACTACAGATATAAGTACAACAAATGCTGTCTTGAGTTGTATGCTTGGGAGCCTTCTATCAGAACAATTGAGTGTTCTTGTATAATGCTATGCCTTTTCTTAGGGCTGTGTTTGCAGGGAAAGGGGAAAGAGAAGAAGATGGGATTTAACTCCAAGGGCTATAGATATTAATGCCTCGGAATTCTACAGGGAACAGAGTTCCTTATAGGCATAACAGGATTTATTATTAGCTAGGTAAAGCAATTGTACTTCTCTCTTCCACACTTACATTTTCTGTTGCCTGGATTTTCCACCCACTCATAATCATGCTGCCTTTCACCTCCCTTTCAGTATATCAGCTACAGAGGCCTGGGACTTCTGCTAGCAGTTGTGATGATCAAGTTGTGTGTGTCCATAAGCATCCTGCTGAGATGAACGTCTCCCAGAATTGTGTCCAAAGAGAGGAAAACAGATTACTTTCTATTGGCCCGGTTGCCAGATGGTGCGGGATATAAATTCAATAAATTAAAAAAAAATTGCTTGTTTCTTGGTGCTCCAAGGAAACTAATTCAGGGGCAGAAAATGGGCCCTGCACATGAGGCAGAAGGATTGCTCTTTTTCCTCTCCGGTTTACAAACTATTTAAACACCAGTCAATCATTAAACTGCTTACGGGAAGAAAATGCTTTGTTTCCACTCTGTCCTACAGGCAGGTGCTGTGTGCGTTTTATTAAGAGATTTCAAAAAGTGACCTTCAGAAACATGGCGCTCCTTTCAGAGAGACGAGATTTCCCTCTCTTGCGTTCCCTCGCAAAAGAGTCAGCTGCTGCTCTTGCCGCTTCGTAATTAATGGTTCTCTCGGATGACTGAATGGGTGATATAATTAATAGCACTTAAGGCTTGGAGTGTGTAGAAATCCACAGCTGATTACTAAAATGTGTGTGTGTGCAAGGATTATGTGCAAACAGTCCCTGTGTGCAGCCACAACCAGATCACGCAGATCAAAGGCACTTAGTAACAGAGTGCTCCTTTGTGGGTTTTTGCGTTCTCTGGCTGTATTCCCAGGGCCCTCTCTGCAGCATGCCTTTTCAAATTAGGAACATATGACACCAATCATTCCTGGCACACACAGATGTCATGCAGGAAGGAGAACACTCGTGGGTCCTTCCCAAAGGAAGACACACATCTGGGAGAACTCCAGAAGATGAATGGAAGAACATGCATCCGCACTGCAAAATATCACCTGGGCATATGTTTAGACCTTAAAGAGGGCGCAGCATCCAAACAATTTAAACGACGGATCTGATTTTTTTCAATTGTTCAACACACACACACACACACACACACACACATATAGAGAGAGAGATTGGGCAGAGTTTGTGAATGGGAGTGTCATGATGGGTAACTTATTTACTGGATCCTTAGGG